TTGGGCACTGGAGGGATACTTAGTGGTTGGTCACTACAGTCAGCTTCCAGTCGGGCGAGGACAACATCTACTTCAAAATCTAACAACCCTACTACGAGGGTGGTGAAAAAAGATATAAATCAACATCGAATTCTATAATAAATCCAACGTCGTAGGAAACTGATACAACCTTGCAAGACTGCAACATCCTCTGTAAGGACCATGAGGAGCTAATGCAGTTGGAGAGGATTTCGAAATCCCAACATACTAAGTGAGAACTATGCAAAAAAAAAGGGAGTTGTGGTCTGCTTGAAATCCTTGGCTCTACATACCCATGCTCTACAATGCCCAGAGTGATGAGGTCGAAGAAAAATGCCCTTGGTCCAGCTACATGAACCGGACATCCAAGCTGCCCGCCTTTGGCCTCGTTCTTCGTGTTTCGGGCTTCGATGGGCGGCTTCTTGCCCTGCGTCCTCATCATCGCTCGAACTCCTGCGTTGCAGGCCAGCTGGACAGCGCGGCATGCACTCGGTACATTCGGATTGCAAGGTCTGCTTTTGCTGCAGGTCCTTCCAAAGACACGGACTGACCAAAACGCGCTTCCAGCCTGGTACAACGCAGTGCACTCTGGCTGGCATTTACAGTTGCTCTTCGTCTTCTAGGATTGGACTGCTTCCCTAAAGCGTTTTGGCTTTGAGGTCACGCCTTGTAGCATTGGTTACTGCGGCAATTTGTCCAAACATACTTAGCAGTGCTGCCGGAACCATGAGACCAGAAGCGCTACCACCAACAACCTTGCTACTACCACTGCCGCTACAACACTACCACCACAACTGCAGGCGCCGCCACCGCTTCGAAACTACTACTCCTCCTGCTCCTCTTATCTGATGCCGTTGGTATCGGGAATCTTCTCCCTTCAGCCACGCAGCTGTTTGTGCACCTCCGCCACATCGGGATCTACCCCTTCTTTGGAGAACTGCTTGTCCAAGAAAAAGGCAATCGCCAGGAAGACGAAGAAGAAGGCTAAGGTTGTCACTCCTGAAGATGATCTGCTGTGTGTCTGCGGTCCATACTCATTGAACTTGCTCCACAAAGCCCATCCCCAACATGCGAGAACCCGCTTGCAAACTGCCTTGAGTACTAGAGGGACCTCTACGTGCACAAGACAACACTTGCGTGTTGTAGGCTTGACGGAAAACACAGAAGCAAGTTTTCAGTTATGCCCCGCGACCTGCAGAAATTGAAGTCGTCTTTCGTGCGAATCAAGACCCTCAAGTTATGGAGAAACTTCAGCTTCATGTTGCTTCTACCAGGAGACCTCTACTTCAACGTGTTGGTCCTTCCGCAAGATCCACTCGGTCAGGTGTGATCCCGGCCAGAACAACCAGCATCCACCTGAAACGATTACAATGACGGTAATCTGTGAACACAGCCATGGCTACATGGTAAAAACAAGAAGTTGCCACAAGACCAGTTGCCACTGTGCTAGTGACTATGGTGACGAATAAGAGGTAATCGTACTCGGTGGCCGAGGTGGGGGAGGTGGAGGTGGCAATTACGGTGGCGCTGGCACTGGCAGCTGTGGCAGGAATGGTGTTGGGCAACGGCAATGGATGTCACAGCAATAGCGAGACTGCTCATGCCGGTCAGAGCACTGATGCTGATGATGATGATGATGATGATGATGTCCCCTGCAATTGCTACGTTCATCAAGGCTGCTCTGGTCCTCCCAGAAAATTGGCTTTCTTGGCCATCTCCCTTATTCTCTCAAGATAGCATTGGCGAGCGAACTCAGTCACAGAGTCAGCGCAGGGAGGACCCTGGTTCCCACCAAAGCTTCAGCCAATCCACCAATGCCCCTGACCATGCCCCAAGCCTTGGAGCAATCCAAACCCTACATCTGTCCTGCTTTCAAGAAGTTACAGGAATCACAAGGAACCTCTCATTTGTCTCCAGGGCACACGTAAGCCAGCACTGAGGCGGCACAGGTGAAACAGAAGACCTGTCCAGGAAACCAGGATATTGTATTGCAGTTCCTGGCTTTTAACGCTTTACTATATCACGCAATGCCGTCTAATGCTTTTAATGGTCTCTAGCCTGTTGCCGCTACCTTTTTCCATGAATCAGGGAATTTGAATTGAAGAGCCGCGGGTTTTGCCATCAACCAGCGCCCTACTTCAACAATGAAATGGTCATTGAAAGCTGCTCCTTCTGCAGACCCCCAAAATGGTAAGGTAAGGTTTCAAAGCAAAAAGGCCCTTATGAGATGATTATCTACTTAATCAATGTTCTGACGGAACCAACTTCAGACCTAGGCAACTGTAGTTACGGGACTTCTAAGTGGGTTACAACTAAATTATAACTACCCTGGACTTGCGGGTGTGGTTACCGACCCATAGTTTGGGTCAATCCCCCACCCAGTAATGGGTACCACAACGCATACTCTGGGGCTACTACTATAGGGGGGTTGACCTAACCCATAGTTTTTGTTAAGTGGAGATTCCTCTCCTCAAAGAACCACCAGTAAACAATGAAAAGAACTGACAGGAGATGTCTTTAACAGCCGGCAAAAGCCTTGTGCCAGAAGGATGATAAGCAAGGGAGAAGGACGTGTGATGCAGGAAATCCTGAAACTCTCTAACGAAGTTCCCTCAACCGTCAAAGTTGCGGAAGATTAGGTGCCCTGAGTGGTGCAAGATCTCCTTCAGTAACAATAGTTTCCACGTTTCTGCATCATTGATGGTAAAAAACAGAAACTGCCACGTGCGATTTTGTCAAAAGGCCTTACAAGCCCTGGGGAGCACTGAAAAGATTATCAAGGAAGCACCTTTCGAGATTCTACTGCTTTCGGAAATTCACATCTTGTACAATACTACTTGCATTTTGGCTGGGACTCCAGGCCTGGATTCCTCCGACTTGGACTTCTAGGGCTTAGGTGCGAAAGAACTGGCGATAGACAGAACTCTTATACCATGGCGGAGGCTTAGGTATATATGATCATGCAGAATTGTGTCCATCAACCATAGGAATATTTACTACTAGCATTTCATGTAGCTCCCAGTACATGTCGAGCACTTCTGCTGTTCATAATCATCAGGAAATTTGTTTAATGGTAGAGTGACTTGCACCCGATTCGAAGTGCCCAAGTATGGATGCTGCCCAGCGCTACAAGTACCAGCACTACTATGTCCAATGTCATGAACTTCCAAAGAACTAAACTCCAAGACAAAAAATCAACTGCCAACTTTAAAGCTAAAGCCTCTAGCCTTAGACATGAATCACATCATAACCTCTACCAGCAGAGACCTATGTTCTCAATCAATTCCCGACATGATCCCCTGCTTCAAAATGACCCTGACATCAGGCCGCCTGGTACTTCTCGATCCTCCGGACCTCCCCGTGCGCGAGCGCTGAGATACAGACGGAGGAGATGCCTTGCATGATTCGAGTTAAGGGCTTGGGATTCAGGGTTGGCGCTTCAAGATTTCGCATTTTAGAGTTCGGGGCCTGCCCTGAAGCGACCCGGAACGAACATGGAACTTTACATGGTTAACGTAGGGGTCGCTGCAAAGACAGTGCCAGGGCTGGTTTTCAAAAACCAGCTCGGCCGGTGGCTTGATAAGAGCTCACCGCCCTACACGGGCGCCTCTGCCGCCGGGGCATCGGGACATGGCTTGCTTGTTGGAGAACCTGCTTGCACCCTGCCCAATGGGGTGGGCTACGCTACTATGTCAGCCAGAAAGGAAACTCCACACAGAGGTATGGAACGACCTGCTACCACACTTATGTTCACCTTGCAAGACATGGTTAACGTTGAGAAACAAGAGCGGTTTTACCGGTTTTGCTTGTGGGTGAGGTCCAGTTATGCTTGGGGCTGATTCGGAACGAGACTCCATCATACAACACAGGCCTCCTGAGGACACTCAAGCTATCAACTCCCGAGGTAAAATCTGCAGGAACACCGCCATAGCAGGTCATGTTGCAGAAAACCTGCGGCCCTCTTTGAGCGCTCAATGTTCAGGGTGTGTTGTAGGGCTGCCTCCTGACCTACCACGATTGGATGTCTTGTTCTGATGCTTGCTACTCAGAAGAAGCATCATCCCCACAAGACCAGATGCTCAAGCTTCTACGTGAGCAACCAACACCCACGCCAAGACGCAGAACAAGTTGAAGGATGCGCTTCCCACAACTGTCTGTGGGCCAAGACTGCCCGAGAAGAAGCGATTGCTGCAAAGCCTCGGCTGAGAATCTCCACATTCCTAACCCCTGAATCTTGAGCCGACGTTCCCAACACTCCAAACCCAGGTTCCTAAACTCGAAGCCCCGAACCCTGCATCCTAAACCTGAGACCCTGTGGCTCCCTCTTTGGGTTTCTTCTCATGGGGTTCAAGATATTTTGTCCGGTATTTGGGGACGCCTAATTAACGGATCTTGGGATCAAAAAGGATACGTGACAAAGCTTTCGTTCGATCAGGGAGCCCCAAAGTCAATAGGTCCGTGCTAAATCCCTGGCCAAAACAGCTCAAAGACCAACTGAGCTCGGTAAACCCTGACACAATGGTCGGAAACTTAGCTGAAGTTTTAGGGCATAGCAGGCTTAGGATTCCATTGCCTCTTCGCTTTCATACACTCCCCGTTGGCTTCCAGAGTTCGAGGAGTATGGCTGAGAGTCAAATTTGAAGGGTGGGGTCTCTCCCTTGCCCCACACTAAAAACATACTAGGCGTGTGAAGAGTTAGATAGCCCTTCTCGGGACCGTGCTGATGGAAGACGCACTTTAAGATCCTAGGTGACGCAGATTCCAAAAGGTATGACCCTAGATCAACTCGCATTATGCTTCCTGGCAATTTGTACTACAGTTTCCAGGCTCGGTGCTGGGACATAGCATGCCAAGGCACTCCACAGTGGAAAGAAGAATCTCTGGAGCGGAGGAGCCTGTTCAAGGATTTGGAGTTTAGGTGTTAGGATTTGGGCTTTGGGCTTGCAAAGGGGCTGCAGATATTTCGCGTTTGGATGTAGAGTTGAAGTTTGGGGGGGGGTTGACTCAAGAGCTTTAAAAAGCGTGAGCATCTTCATGAAGATCATGATTTACGAGAAGCTCAAACTCACAGCATACCTTTAGCACGTCGTGTTCCCTATGACAAGGCTGAGACCGAACCAACACCAGGTCTTCGAGTCTAACTTGGGCGCAAGCTGCTGCAATCACTCATGAACTCAGCAGGCTACTTCTAGCAGCTACTGCAGCAAAACTCCGCACACAGGTACAGCTATCCAGAGCAGATGCTTCAACATGAGCTAGCCCTAGAATCCCTGACAGCTGAATCGAGGATGAGATGAACTCCATTATGGGACTCATGAAGGTGCTTTGAAAGATAGCTGGACCATTGTGTCACTTCTTCTTCCCTTACTTCTGAATTCTGAACGCGTCCCTTCTTGCCCTGTTCGAAGATGCATAATCCCCTCCCCCTAACATAAAACCCCCCCCTCCCTCCCTATATCAAATAGGCCCCCATTGTGGTGTATTATACTGCGTTGGGAGTATTGAGTATTAGGAGGGGTGGGGGGGCACCCTCAATAGTAGTTTCCATTTCATTTTCCATTATCCCAAGATCTATAGAACCCCAATATTATGCCTAAATCCTAAACCCTAAATCCTAAACCCTATAACATTAGGGGGAGGGGATTAGCCCAGTTTGATCTGAGCCCTGTCCAGGCCTAGTGCCTCGGCTGATTTGGGTTTCGCGTCTTTGGGGTCCAGGGTTTGGGGTCCAGGGATACTGGGTTGCTGATAAGGATCTTAATCTAAGTTACTATATTGTGAAACCCCATTAATTACTATATATACCCGTTGTGAAACTTAATTTAAGTTCCTTAACAGCAACCCAGGATCGGAAATACTGGGAGTTTGCGGGCTTCTTCAAAGCTTGGACGATGATGGGAGCTTCAGACAACGCGCTTTTTTGCGAGGACGACCCTGCTGGATTTTCAGAAACAAAATGGAATTTGTCGGTTTGAGGGCACCCCCCATCTTGGGTATTCTGCAGAGGTCATGGCTCAGGTCATGGCTCATCGTGCCTCGCTTCGCAAAGATTATGCACACCCATGACTGCGAAATGCATGAAGTATTCTCAAGTTTGCTAAAGCAGCATAAAGCAGCAATCCACATTGGAGGCTGCAACTAAGCCGAAAAACTACGCCCCACCAGCCTCATTCCCAAAGCCTTGCTCCTGAACCTTTAATCTCGATCCGAAGCCCAAAGCAATCCATATTCTATCATACTATATTGTAGTATAACCAAGTATATCGAATTATGTAATAGCATATTGTACTACATTTTAATATAGTAGACTAAACTATATATATATATTGCACTATGTTGCATAAACCTTTTTGGGGTTTTGGAGTCTCCGCAAGCCACGGTGCCATGAGGCTAAGGTTCGCCAAGGTCTCGTTCCAGACTGTGACACGAACCTCCACCTGTCAGGGTCAGGCAGGCTTGAGGCCTGGGGATTAAGGGGGCTGTGGGCTTAGGTTTAAAGGTTGGGAGCTTGGGGTTTCAGACTTAGGGGTTCAGCGAGGAGTGGGACAGGGAAGCTTCCTTACGGAAAAGGGACACGATAGCCGCAATGACAACGAATGAGCTTGCAAAAGCAGGGGTAGAATCAAGGCAGGCAAGCAGCCGCTAAACTAGCAAGTCAGCATGAGCTTCATAGGCGTAGCAAGTAAAGCATGGAAACCATCAAACTTTGAGAGCAGGTCGTTGCGAAAGGCACTGCTGGGACCCAAGTGTGTCTGCCTTCTGTCCGGCTGGGTTTGTTATCCACTTGGAGCGTTTACTGCTGGTGATCTTCTCAATCGCCGCCATAAACTCGTCGCAAATGATACCAACCTGGGCCAAGTGTGGTCCCAATACGTTTAGATTCTTCCTTGTAGCACATGAACCACAAGATCTATTTATAGTTTAGGATTTCAGGCAGTGAGGATCTACTTCCTGGGTCAGGAGCCGCATGACTTGTGGCGACTGGAAAGGTATTCAGGCACCAACACTTGTGGAGCCTCCCATCTCAAAACCCAGCATCTGAGGTCCCGGCCCCTTGAAATGACCATAAGAGGACGAAAAGATAGAATAGACTTCTGATCCTGGGCCGCAAGCTTGTGGTCACGGGATCATGGACTCATCAACTAAGACCGACCAGGCAAAGGAGCCAAGCATGTCCTCAAAGTGGCTAGTTGAGAAATGCTCCGCAACGTGAGACACATTTGACATCCCTGGAGGCTGTTCTCTTTACATACACAGTCATACGAGAGGTAGCGAGCACATGCATGGCTTGATCACATGCGATGGCAGTCTGCAGCCTCTTTGTGGAAGAAACACATTGCTAGCCACAACCATCAAAACTCGGATGCAAACACCGACACGTGTCGGATGTCAGGCCCCGTTCATGGAAAGAGCTGTAATCAGTGAAGCAGTACGAGAAGACTTGAAGCAAGCTCATGGACAATGACAAGGGGGCTACAATCTACTAAGACATGAAACTGCCATTGCAAAATGAAGAAACTGCTACGACCGAGATCTCAGCTCCTGAACCTGGAAACAGCAGCTGAAACACCCTTTAGAACCTAAGCATCAAGACCCCGTAACTCTGAACCCTCGATGTCATCAACCCCTGAACCATGAGCTCAGAATCTAGACCAGATGCAAGATTACAAGAAGAACCAACGCTGCAAGATCCTTTGTCTCCACTCCCCTGACAACCATCCCAACCCTTAACCCCAATCCAAAGTCCTCACACCCAAATCTCAAAAACTGACCTCCAAACCGCCAGAACCAACCACAAGTCCAAGCCACACTGCAGGCCACGACTTTTCGTAGTCACCACCTACTGGCATGACCAGTGTGCCATCGCCACAGAGCTCACAGCTCCTCTGGTCATAACTTTCGGGAAAAGGGTTTAGGAGTTGGGGTTCCCTACATAACCCCCAACATAGCCCAGCATTCCCTATATAACCCATTATTCCCCACATGACCGCTACATAACCGATCATTCCCTATATGACCCGGTAGCGTGCAGGATTTAGGGTGTAGTGTTGAGGGTGTAGGCCTCAGAGTTCAGGATGGCTTTTCTCACCATCCCCCCTTGGCTGACCTCCCCTCACCTCTTGGGCTCTCCTCCATAAAGGTTTACTCAGGGATAATTGGATAATTAGGGCTGATTCAAGTAGAACCTGGGGGTACTATGGTGACTCGGGTAACAAGGGAACCCGTCGAACAGAGAAAATCAAAGCCAAGACTTATGGTTTTGGACTTCTGGTAGGGTCTGGAATCAAGGTTTAGGTTTTCGGGTTCTGTTTCAATTTTCTGGTTTCCTCCCTCTAACTGGGCCATCTTAAGGGCTCAGGCTTTCAGGCGAAACACCCAAACGATAGGGTTTAGGGTTTAGGATATTCCCTTTCAATCCCAAACTCTGCCTCTCAGATTTCCGAAGAAGCGTCAAACGGTGCCGTAAGGGCCCAACTAAACAAGTCTGCAAGCAAAAGCTTCCACCTCTACGTCCAGGAATCATCATCAAGCAGCCTGGACTCCCTGCAACCTTAATAAGAGTATTATTAGTAGTTATCTCAGTGTTGATATTACTACAAATATCAATATCGATATTAATCATAATATAACTTGTAATATTAATACGAATATCAGTATGAAATGACGAAACTAAGATCAATATGACGCCCTCCTCAGGGCGACGGAGGCAATGCCAGCACAGCTCACATCGCCAAATTTGGCACGTTCGTCGAGGATGACTACAAAGTAGAGGACTTCCTCACTTCCGCTCCGGAAGGCTCATGGGGACTGCTCTGAGTTGGATGACTGGAGATTTTGATATTTCTCGAGGTGAGAGTCAAGACATATATCACGCACATATGTATATATATATACACACACACACTACCAACAATACGCTGCGAATTGCGCAGCTCATCAAAATGCAGCGTTGCTCGCAATGTCATCCCCTGTAAGGTAGCTTCGAGCATCAGAGCAAAAGAGGAGTACCGTCAGAACAGGCAGTTCTTGTGTGAAAGCACCCAAAAACAGGGACCCAATACTTCCCGACATCCGCACGGAAATAGTCAGTTGTAGACAACAGTCAATGCAAGCCTGGAGTTGTGCCCGGCGCCCCAGGATAAGACAACAACACTTGGTACGTCTCAATTCAGGCCACGCAATGATGGAGAACTCTTCTAAAGTACTTTAACTAGTAATCCCAAATTTTTGGAAACCTAAACTCTAAACCTTAAACCCTATGTAACCCCTATATACTGAAAAACTCTCTTCTAGCTTCGTGAGCCAAGTCTCCACTGCAACTACGACCAGGAAGGCCATGAAGGCCTTCAAGGTCTCTATTCGGCAATCCACCGGCCTCAGCTGCTGTCAACTTCATTGGAGAATCAAATGGAAAAGAAAATGGAACTGGGATTATATAGGGGAATTATAGGGGTTATAGTCTAAACTCCTAGTATCCCCCTTACTAACCCCTGTAGTAGTCCCATATATAATCCCCTATATATCCCCCTTTAAGGAGTTTAGACTATAGCTCATATGCACATAGAACAAGTTGGATTTGAAGGCTCTGGGGGTAGACATCTTCTACTAAAACAAGGAAAGAAGACCTATACAACACGCTACACGCCTCATTGCTTTACCTTCAATATCTAGCCAAGTGATGTTGCCCTGTCTGGGGTGTGGGGACTGCAGACAGGAGAAAAAATGCAGCCTTTGCGACTTGTATGCTAAGCTGCGGCGCCCCAGACAAGGGGCCTTCTGCACTGTCTATGACATGAGTTTATGACATGACCTCGGGTACCCTTCTTTCTTTAATATGGCTTCGGGTAAGGGCTCAACGTATGTCGACAATCTGCAACAAAGCCTTCCTGGGCTTTCAAAACTCCTGAAACTTCTCAAGCTCACCCGTCCCCCTGAACTCCCTACGATCCTCAAAAGGAATGGATCCTTAGATTAGCCCTATATAAGGCCCAATGACATAACTAGTAGTTTCCCTTTGCTTTTCCATTCCAGCCCTCTGCGCCCCCCCTTTTTTTCTCATTCCAGGGTCGCGGGCTTCTCCTCCTCGGCTGGCTGAGCCACGGAGGATTCCAACTCGGACACACGCTTCTGCGCAGCATCCAGGGCTCCTGGCCATGGGGAAACTTTGCGCCATTGGATGTACAGACTTCAGTGCTCAGGGCCTCAAGCTTGTTGATTGGGGCTTGAGGTTAGAAGTTTACAGAGTGTAATGCATAAGGTTCAGGGCTGAGTTCACAGGGCTTTGTGAGAGTTCAGAAGATTCGTAAAGTTTTGTAGGCAACCTAGCTACCTGCATAGCTCAAGAATCAGTACCCTGTCAGTCAGGAACATGCCTCGGGTGATGCCACAGAATCTCTTACTACAATTCAGATACATCCTCTAATCCTAAACAGTTTTCCTTGTCATTGCAACCGTATAACGCTGAGTATGACCAAAGCATAACGCTCAATGTGATCCCGACTATGAAGAGTAGTTTCCAGATTTGCCATACAGCGTCCCGGCGACACTGAAGCCAAGCAGCGCAGGGTTTCGGGTTTGTTGAGTGAGTGTTGAGGTGACTTGGCGTGGTGCAAGCAAATAAATGTATCATGACTGAAGATGCCTCTATCCCAATAGCCCATGTCTGCAAACGACAGTTCTCAAGATTTAGAAGATCCCTCATTTTGGAGGGGCTCTATGTAAGGGGGCGTGCCTTTTTGAGCCTCAGCGGTTTTTGGAAGCCACTCAAAGAAAAGCCCCCAGACCTGAAACCTTGAGTCTGGGTCTGGCCTCTGATTGCAAGGCCAGCAGTTACATTGGCTTCCTCTAGGGTTTAGGGTTTAGGGACTACAACATGGCCGCACTGACTGAGCTTAGTAAGGAGCCAGCGCAAGTCCAAGGTCAGAGTCAGTTCTCAAAAAATGGCCCGAGTCCTTTGGTCTCATCCAGGGCCGACAAGGCCTCAGTGTCATGTGTGCTATAGTCTATGGCGGGGTTATGTACGGGACTGTTTTAGTGGTTATTAAGGGGGATACCAGGAGTTTAGACTAATTACGGCTATGTGGGCTGAGTTCTCCAATCATGGTCAAAGTCAGAACCTTCCCATGCAAATCACAACTTGCCTCAACAGCAGAATTCTTCCATGGGACGTTGCTAGACCGCTTTAACACTTGTCCGAACTACGCACGCGCACGTTCATGAAATCACCCCACTCGAGGACACTCCTCCAGCCTTTCCTAGCCTCGAAAGCTAGGACCTAGGAGCAGCTTAGGCTGAGCATGAAAAGACTCTCCCCAGCATGTTGTCAAGCAAGTTTTGGCACATGGAGTCACTGAACAAGTTTAACCAAGGCCTCTTAAATGGGTGCCCATAGACCCAATTTCAAATCCAATCCCGTGTTCTTCGTTCAGAGAATTCAACACATCTATTTAAATGAGCGAGTCTAGCAGCCAATCAGCTGGGATTCTCCCAATAGCAGCCCTTCACACGCAATCAGCCGAATCACACAGCAGCACCCGAAAGCCTGCTACCCTAGTCTCTTCGGAGGATGATGGCCAGCGAAAGCCACGAACGCTATAGAATACCAGACATGCAGCTCAGGGCAGTTAGCCATATCAGGTTATCCATAAAAGGGGTTCCCAAATCAGGGGTACCATTTCCGGGGTCCCATGATAAGGATTATGGTATTTTGGGGTCAATATTGGGTCGCGCTATTCATGGAAACTACCGCACACATTGATTTTTGTAACGTGGAAAGTAATGTGCCACAAGATACGGAAGATACTGAAGGGATCCCAGGAATTTGGATTGAGCCAGAGGGTTTGGGGCTTCATGCCTTCATGACAGGAGCCGGGGAAAAGCAGCTTACAGCTGAGGAGTTAGCACTGCAAGTTGAAGGCAGAGGGCTTAAAGCAAAACTCTGATCCTTGAATCGTCCCCACATGCCCGACTCAAGTCCCAGACACCTAATTTTCCAAGACACGGTTGAACTCAATACCGTCGTACCGGCTTGCATATCACAATCACAAGAAACGTTATCATTTAGGAGGACCCCCCACCCCGTAATAGCGGTATAATAGGAATATAAGAGGACCCTAATATAATCCTTATTATCCATAATAGGGGGGTCCACCTAAGTTATCATTATCATTCCTTCTCTTTGCTCACTTCACACAGATGATCCTGAGCCAAGTCGCGACTTGCAGCTTGTCCTGTAAGTCCTCGACCGTTGATTTCCGCTCTATTCCCTGCCTGAGCCAAGGATTAGCTTTTTGGTGGTTGGTCTGGAATGAGGGCATGGAACCTAAGGATCGTCCTTGGGAATAATATAACTATGAGTGCTCTTGTAAGGACCCATTCGTCTATTCCCTCCCGCCACCAGCACGTAAGAGCGCTGGGGAGGTTACCCTTTCGAAGTTCAAGGTTGGAGGAACCCAGAGGTTCCAGAAGGTCTGCAGGAAAGAATGTGCTGCCTCTGAAAGGGTATGGCCACTGCAGCAAAGCTTCTAACCATGAGCCCCGAATATGTCTAAAGCTCAGAAAGTCAATATTCCCCATCTAATCAAAAAACGTAAGTTCCTATTAGGGAAGATGTTAGTTAGAGACTTTGCGAAACAACCCAAGGCACCCCTACGTCCACCCTTACTGGTCCATTGGTAAGCCTAATATTGTCAGTAGCTCATGTGAGCACACAACGGCTCCTGTCCCCCAGAAACAAATATCAAACCTGAAGCTGAAACTTCTTGCCAAGCCCTCTAAGGCAGGGCGCGTGTCTCGGTTCCTCGACAACAAAGGGCAAATAAGCCCTAGGTATTAGTTGGAGAAGGCACCATGTCACCTGCACACTGAACCCGTAAGCACTATCGCTATCATTGCCGGGCTGCACTTTGTCATTGCGATCCTTGTCAGGGGACCACATGTTCACCTGCACGCGGTGAAACAATAATGCGACGCTCACCGAACTGTCACATGTGCCCCATCCCCTGTTGACACCAGCTCCGCAATCCCAAGCCGACAACAGCATCATGAAAATTGCAAAATAACACCCACCACAATCAAGGCAAGCAATGTTGTCAACAAATTGGCATAAGTTATCCTTATAAATTAAGTTGCATGATCAGGTCCGAAGAATACCTACGTTGACAACAATCTTTCGGGTTCTGTGAAAACTCTGCGAGTCATGCAGAGTTTTCACAGAACATCATCATGAGCGTCACTGCTAAGCCCTAATCCTTAAGCTGACAATCCCCTAAACCCTAAGCCCCCAACACCCTGAACCCTCAGTCAGAACACTAAAGCTTCGTCCACGCTACATCTGTCTCTTTCTCATCTCCGTCCGGCATCGGCGAAAGTTGTCGCACGAGCCTCCTGGGCTCAACATAGGTGGTTTCCGGAAATTAGGGGCCCCGTTTTGGAAGTCCTTCAGAAAGGGTTCTGCTAACTTGAATCGATATTTTGGGGTCACCTGATTTATGGAAACTACTACAACGGTCAAAGGTTTGTCATGAAACGCATACTGCCGCTAAATGAAGACTGCATAAGCTCTAGTTGGGCATCATGTTAGGTCTGTTTTTGAAGGCAGGGGAGCAAGTCGGGGGATATCCTGTTTGGCCTTCAGACTTTCGGGTTTGAGGATTAGGGTTTAGGGTCTCGAGTTCAGGATGCAGAGCTTCCCATCCCTATAATAACACCTTCACCTGTGTAGTCCCAAAGCTGTTTGGCTTGGGCTTCTGGCTCGACATTCGCGAAGGTGTTAAATCAAGTTACGCAAGGCTCCCATCCTAGCAAGTCAACATGAATCCCGAGAATCTATGTCGTTCAGCACTGAAGCCCTCGCAATCTCGAGGCGAAACTCCTGCAGAAAACGGACTACGCCTGGATCTCTGCAATAGCCTGTAGCATTCCCACACATCCTGCAAGGAATGCAGAAAAAGCTGGATTGATCAAGTGTTTATAGTGTTCAGGGTGACCTTCCCAATTTCTCCGAGAGACGGCATGCACGATGGGCTAAAGCCCTGCGACTGTGGAAACCTCAGCGGTTTAGATACATGAGGATCGACATAGGTACTTTCTTCTGTCCCTACACCGCGCTCATGAAAGTTACGCCCCATCATCCAGTCATATAGCCCGAACATCACCACTCATCACGTCATAGCAGTAAGGAAACACATAGATGTTTAACATGAAGATGTTGCAACTTCCATACACTTTGATGTAGGTGAGCAGCCTCCCGAAGACGGGGACCTTTAAGGCCGCATCTGCAGGAATTGTGTCGTGCTGCCTTCTGAACCAATAATTAACGTCTGCGGGCGGCCGAGCAATGTTCAAAATGCCAACTCAGATCATCACTACAAGAAACACTTTGGCATGCTGCACTGTAATCAGGCAGCATCTTCCTGTGCTAGCAGTCAGTCATGGGAAAACAATCGTACACTACTCTATTCACATGCAACGGCGCACTGCTGGCACAGCACAATCCAACATCAGCCCATCGCACGATTCATGCCCGCAAGTGGGGCTCACCCCATCCGCTGGCAACCTGGATTCAGAAAGCTGACGTGAGCGCTGATCATGCAGGACTACGTAATTCATCATACCTTCGTTGTCTAGTGCTATGAGCATTGCATTGCGTTGCTAGTTTCAATCCCTCTGGTTTGTATTGCTGCCTGATATACTCCCATAGTGCTAAGCAATGGCACCCACCACTAATAGCGATAGTGGCCACATGGGATCATGGAACCTAACGTATTGGCTCCAGGAGGTCCAGCAAGGCTTGCTAAGCTCGGCACGCTGCTCCTGCACCCAGAAGGGCAGAGGACAGATCTGGGGGCCCTAGGGCCTGTATAGCGACGAAAAAGGGATCTTTTTGAGGGATTATGTAGTATGATCTATTTGGAGAAACCTCTGTATGTCAGAGAGTGCCAGCTGCTAGCTGTCTTGGCAGTGCATAGTGAGTCTACTAAGCTTTATGGCTGCGGTTGCAACCCAGCGCTCCTTCATGTACACTGTGATGAGATTACTTGGGTGGTGCAGAAACAATAATTTAAAAAGAAAAAAAAGAGCAATGCAGGAACATGTATAGCAGCGAGGCATCTAACCTCAAGCCAATCTAATTCTTCTTCTTCTTCAAGTCATGCGTTCCAAGCATCCCTGCTTCGTTTGTGCCTTTTCCAGTGATTGCTATGTCTGCAGTGACACTGCTGTCCATGCAGCACAGCCTATGTCAAGGAAGCTGGAGCCACATAAATGGCGAGCAAACAGGGAACAATGCCACATGGCCATTGCTCAAGATCTGGCTCCCATGCCGGTTGGGCTTTGCATGTCAACATCCGCATACTCTTGGCGGAATTCAGGGGCGTCCAAGAAAGACCTGAGCCACGTCCTGTGGTGGCCAAAAGCGTAGGACTGCAGCTCCAAGTTCCTCAACCCACTGAACACCCGTAGTGGAGCCACATGCTTCCATCTTCGACCTGCTCACCCAGGCCTCTTGGTTTCAGATGCAAATGTAGCATGTCGGACTCAACTGTACAGAAGCTCGACACTCTTAAAACCCCCTTAGAGGGTGTTGGAATCCAGACCGCTGCCATTCCAGCAGCCAACGCTGCGCGGAAGGGCACTTCGACGCAACTACAACACCTACGCTGCCTGTGCTTAGGGCATCTAGTGCAACTTTCGGCTTAGCCTTCTGCGACGTGCTTACTTGCTGACCTCGCACATACAACAGGCAGCTAAACTGAGATTGTCGTCTCATCATGGAGACAGGCTCCCAAAATACAGTTCACACCCTGCTGCTGATGTTCGGCCTGGGCGCAGAAACTGCTGCATGGGAATTTTAGGGGTCTGCATAATGACCCCATCCTGGAAATCCCCATTCACCCAAGACTTGTGAAACCACCAGATTGAGGGTGGCGCGGTACAAAGCGTCTGGCAGGACGATGCACCTAGGAGTACAGGATTCTAAAGAAAGAGATAGTTCAATAACCCTGGGCAACCTTGACGAGGGGGGACGGAGGCTAAATGGAGAACCACGACCTAGATTGAATGAAGGGCTCCAAGCCGTTTACGGCTTGGGCTAGCGGCTGTAATGTTCAGGAGTACGCGAGCTATCGTGTAAACTCCTAGTACCCCTTTTACTAACCTCTATGATACACCCCTATATAATACCCCCCGTAGCCCCGTTTTAGGAGTTTAGACTACAGCTCGTGTTGGATCTAACGGTTTGGCTGGTGGGAGTTGTTGTGTCGTGACTTGCAGGATTACGGTCATTACAACCCAGGGCCTTGAAAAAGGGCCTCGCCAAAGCTCCAGATCTCAGATCACCAAGTTTCAGAACCCTCAATCAGCTGCTTCAACCCCTAAACCCTAAACCCCTAAACCCAAGCCCTAAACCCTACGGAGCATCTTAGGGAGGCTCCAGGTCTCAACCCTACACTTGACCTGGGACCCCGGCACTCCTCTGCTTTTGGGCCGGGGCGGCCGCGAGTGCCTGCCACCTCCTTGCCTGCACTACCGCTTGTTCATATATTGGGATGCTAAGGGGTAGAGAGGAGCGGACCCTAACTTCAGAAGCTCTTATTTTGGTACTTGGGCTTACTTGCATCATCCCCAAGAAGCAAAACTGCCCCTCTTTTTCGGGAGCTCACTGGCACTCTGTAGCTTTGACTTGTCCTGCTGGAACGCTGATTTCAGCCTTTCTGTGTAAAGACCGACGAGGAACACAATCATTCAAATTGGGAGCATCCAGGGGAAAGGCCTGACGCGTCCGTGCACCAGCACTCGCCAGTTGATCCCCAGCACCTCAGCCATCGCTGCCTATCAACAAAACTGACAGCAAGAGCAGTCCAGCACCTATGACTCTTGCAGTTTGACTTCTTAAAGCAAAAGTACAAGTGAAAGTCTTCGTCGTTGTCGTCTTCGCAATCCGCCGGTGACCTTTGCCATTGTGTCATCATGTTCGTCAGGCCATGATGGTCGTTGCGGTCGTCGTAATGGTTGACGTCAGCGTGGTGATGGCTTCGGCGGCAGCAGTGTCACTAATCAAACCGTCAGCAAACGAGCAGTACGAGTCTTTCCCATCCCCGTGGCATGTTGGATTCATCTAGTTTGATCCTGAACTCGGAACCCTGAACTCAAAACACTGAACCTTGAGCCCTCTCAGCAGGGAACTGGTGTTTCTCATAGCCTCCTTCTGGGCGGCATCGTGGCAGGAAAGCTCCAAGCAAGGGACGGATCCGAGCCTCTTGGGCAATCTGGTGGGTTTGGTGTTCAGGGATGTTTCGGGTCAGTGGGATTGTGTGAATCGGTTTTACCAAAACTATACAGGGAGCAGGTACGGGTTTTTCTGACATTTGGCCAGGCGCCTGCTTGGAGCCCAGCCATTTGACCTTTTACTCCTTACCCGCAGCTTTCTCACGGGAACTAGAGTTGACTAGGGTTTAGTTCACAGCTTGAAGGCAAGAACCATTCCATGCAGGCTGGACCATCGCGCCAGCTTTCACACAAGGAAGGGTGTGCAATAAGACAGGGAGTGCGGTCGGCCTTCAACTGCTTCAGGTGGCACTCGGTGTTGTTACCATCCTCCTGCAGAGTTGAAGGGGGGACTGCGAAAACAGCTCTGCGGTCATTATCTTAATAATCGAAGAAATGCAGTTATTACCCGCTAAGGGAACAGTTAAACGCAGTCACCACACCAGACAGAAGCATTATGTACGACTATCCTAGAGGTAAGAACAATGACAAGAATCCTGGCTATAAAAACAACGATCATCATCACAATCATCTTCACTGCCTTCCTCCATCGCAAAAGCAGAGTGAGCAGTGAGCTGCGTCATGTTGCACATTCTCAGCGCCCAAGCCCCGCAGAACATGACTCTGTCACAAGGCAGGGTTCCTGCGTCTTACATGCCCCAAAATTACGGCCCACATTGCATTTTGAACATGCACACCCCCCCGCATCCTGAGACACTCCCTACTACAGAGATGTCCAAGATTGCAGCCTTGCCTGAAGCAGTCGGATGGCCAAGCAGTCCTCATGCCTGCCAAAGTCTGGTTATACGACCCATGGGTATGTAGCAAGAACACTGGCATGGCACACATGCAGGGTATGCTTGAGATCAGCTTTAGCAAGGCCTTCACACGGAACCCCCGCTACCACATGGCCTAGCATTGAGGATCCACAGCTCCCACCACCACAGAATTGACCAAGACTGTTGCCACGGACCATTTTCCTCTCAGCAAAGCCGGCAGGTCTTTTCGGGCATCAGCACCAGCCATGCTGGGTCCAATGAGCTAGGAAGTCATCACATCCTCAACATTCCGAGGAACAAACGGCATCAGGAACGACGGTGCCAGTAAGCACACCGCAGAAGCACACCCAAACTTCAGCCTCTCCTCGCAAACACCACAACCTGAATAGCTAGATTCGTGCTCTTTGATGTCCAACTACAAAAGGCCCCGCTCTGACCTAAATGCATTCAGGAAAGGCCGCTCTTTGGGGGCGATTTCTCTCCTATCTACAGGGCAGCAACAGTTTTTGCAAGACTGCCAAGGCGTCGACATAGGCAACGCTGGGGCCAACAAACAGGGCCAACGGGCGCTGTGTCACTTGGATACTGCCCCCACTCCATAGCAGATATGTACACTACCCTTCCTTGCGGGTGTATCCTAGCTAGGACAGTTCGCATGCTTAGAAGATCGTGGTCATGGGCAGTGATATTGCTATCGGCAAGCCGGTCTGCAAATTGATGGCTGCTTGGTATGGTGCTCATGTTCATGGTAGTTGCGACAATTGCCACAGACAAGACATCAGGACAGCAAAAACGATGATGATCTTTATTTCTTTCAATAACCACTGCACAGGAGGTCTGCGATGCGGAAATACGAATACTATTAACAATAATGATGATGATGATGATGATGATGATGTCGATAGCGATGATGATGATGATGATTGTGAAA